TGGACAGTTGTTAGCTGCCATCTAGGTGCTGGGATGAGAACCTGGGTCCTCTGCAAGGGCAATCAGTGGTCTTAACCACTGAGCCATCTCTCCAGCCCCAATTCTGAGTCTCTTGATACAATATTGTTATTGCAAATTTTGTTAATTTGGTTCAAGGTTTATAATATGTTCTTTCTCTCTCTCTGTACACACATATGAGAGTATGTGATGTATGTATGTGTTGAAGTATGTTTGGAGGCATATGTCAAGACCAGAGGAGGAAGCCAGGTGTCCTGCTTTGTCACTTTGCCTTCCCTTGAGACAAAGTCTCTCACTGGACCTGGAGCTAGTCTGGTGACCAGAAAGCCCCAGTAGTCCTCTTGTCTCTGCCCTGCCCCCTGCAGTGGTGGATTATACGAGCCTAGCTTTTTATGTGTGTCCTGGGGATTTGAACTCAGGTCCTCATGCTTGCATAGCAAGTGCTCCTACCCATGGAGACATCTCCCTAGCCCCTCTGATATGTACTTTTAGTATAGTTTATTATCAAATGTCATGTCACGTACAGGAACCAAACCCAGGTCCCCTGAAAGAACAGCAGGTGCTCTTAACCATTGAACCATCTCTCCAGCTCCACCCTGACTTTTTGAATATTATGCATCCCATTGTAACACATCTTAGACTGATTAGTCACTCAAAATATATTTGAAGAAATCTATTACTTGCTATGTCACCAACCATTATTATTGTTGATAGATATTGGCACAGAAAATTTTTGGGTTAGAAAAACAGAACTAGGCTGGGTGTGGTGGTGTATGCCTCTGTGAGTTCAAGGCCAGCCTGGTCTACATAGTGAGTTCCAGGCCAGCTGGGGCTACAGGGAGACCCTGTCTCAGAAAGACCTGGCACTTGGGCATGTGAAATGGCCTGTGTATCAGCAGATTTGTGAACACAGGGTTTCTTTGGTTGCAGAAATGCTGATAGAACGTCACTAAACAGCTAGTGCATCCTGGGTGTCTTAAGAAATAATGGGGGGCTGTAGAGATGGCTCGGTCATTTAGAGCACTGGCTGCTCTTGCAGAGGACTCAGGTTCAGTTCCCAGCACCCATATGGCAACTAAGAACCATCCCTGATGCAGGTCCTAGGGAACTCGATGCCCTCTTTTGGCTTCTGCATGCATTGCACATACTGGTGCATTTACATACATGCAGGCAAAACACTCATACACATAAAAAAGAAATACAGGATGGCACAGAAGCTGTGCCAATATTGGTCCAGAAATATTTCATTGCATACTTTATTCTTTTAATGGTTTAGTCTTATCTCTCCTTTTTATGCCAGGCACTGAACTCAGGGCCTTGCACATGCTAAGCATGCACTCTACCCCATCCCTGAAATAGCCTTTTTATTTATTCTTAAAATATTTATTTTTATGTGCATGAGTGTTTCAAGTTCTGAATATAAAATTGATAACAAATCAAATAGATGCAATGATTGTTATTTTGCTAAGCTTTTTAGAAAATATTTTTTCTATTTATTATTTTTATTTTATGTGTATGAATGTTATGCCTACATGCATGTAAGTGTATCTGTACCTGCATGCATGTAAGCACACGCATACACCCATAACAGACATGGAGGCCAGAGAACAGCTTTTAGGAGTTGATTCTCTCCTTCTACCATGTGGGCCCTGAAGATTGAACTTGGGTGATCAGGCTTGCTTGGTGGCAGGTGCCTTTACCTGCTGAGTCATGCCTTTAAGCCCCTTTCTTTGTTTTAGGCATGCAGATTCTGTTTGGAGTTACTGGTAATGGTCAACACTATTGTTTAACTCCTTAGTGCATTAAAGGCCATGAAAAGATAGACATTGTTGGAAGAGAAAAATCCAGGAAATCCATGAAAGTTTCTGATTGGAGGAACATTGGGCTCTTTAGAATCATATTGTTCTAGTGTTTCTATTCCTCTGTTAAGTCTGTTAGCAACCCTACTTCTCCTGAGGACAGGAGGAAGAAAATTGTTGGTAGACTTTGTAGAAGAAACACAAGTGTCTGTAAGTGATTGAAGTACTGTGCTTTCAGACTCTTGTTTTTATGTAGGTATGTAGGAGAATTGAGCAGAAGAAAAATCTTTTCTTAGGTGGTTGCTTTTAGGAGACCAAGCCATGTTGTTGACAGGCTTGACTTGAATCTTCAAGTACATCTATTCTCTAGGATTTGGATGGTATCCAGCTGACTGCTCTTAGAAATGTTCTTTTTGTTAAATGTTTTCTTTTTGGTAGGAGAACTATGTGCTTGCCAATATTTAATCTGTCTGGGCATTGAACATTGCTGGTTTTCTCCAGTGTACATTCTTTGCTCCTTTTGTGTCTTCCCTTTGAATGCTGTGTGTTGAATGATGGATATTCCTTCTACCTCTGCTGAATAGTGCACGCTGAGCCCTGAGAGAGGGTGGGCCAGTGAGAATTGAGGAAAGGCTTTATGAAATCTGCTGGTGAAAAGCTTGAGAAAGTTCTAGAGTGAGGAGGCATATAGTCTTAGCTTCTGAGGTAGAGTCTAGCAGGAAAGAAGCCAGTTTCAGAGTGAGTGTGGCACTTTGCAAGACAGAATTGAAACACTGGGTTCCCAGTGACCTTGCTGAGCGCCTTGTCTCGCCCAAAGCATGTTGCATGATTTTCTACATCTCTGAGTTTTTCCTGCTTGGTATGTGTTGAGCATCTTGGATGTGTCTATTCGTGCCTTTCATCAGATTTGTGGCACTGCAGTCATTATTTCTTCAAATGTTTCTTCTCCAGGAAAATAACTGTTCTCATGTTATTTTGAGGAGTTTGGTTGAGATAGCCTCTTAAAACCATGTAGCCTCATCTAATTCAGTAAGTAATAAATCTTTCCTCATTGACTGCTCAGCCCTAAATGGGATGTCTATGCCCTAGATGGGATGTCTATGCCAACTGCCACCCCCCCCAACCCAAGGCAATTTAACATAATCTGGAATCACCTAGAAAGGGAGTTTCAGTGAAGAATTATCTAGATTAGGTTGGCCTGTGGGCATGGGTATGAAGGATTTTCTTTTTCCTTTTCTTTTTTGAAAAATATTTTAATTTTATTTTTTATGTGTATAAGTGTATTGATTGCATGTATATAAGTGCACCTGTGTCATGCAGTGCCCATGGAGGTCAGAAAATGGTGTCAGATCCCCTGGAACTGGAGTTACAGAGGTTGTTGTTCTAGTTTGTTTCTCCATTGCTGTGACAAAGTACTCAGACCAATACCAACTTGGGGCAGAAAGGGTTTATTCCACTTACATCTCCTAGGTCATAGTCCATTACTGAAGGAGCTAGGAACTCAAGGCAGGAACTTGGAGACATGAGGTGAAGCACAGGCCATGGAAGAATACTGCTTACTGGCTTGCTCAACTTGTTTCTTATATAATACAGGACCACTTGCCAAGGGGTGGCACCATTCACAGTGGGCTGGGCCCTCCCACATCACTCAATAATGAAAAAAAAATGCCCCACAGCATGGCCACAGGTCAGTCCAGTGGAGATAGTTCCCCATTTGAGGCTCCCTCAATCCAGGTGTGTCAGGTTGACACTAAAGCAAGCTAGCACAGTTGGTAGCTGCCAGGTCCTCTGCAAGAGCAGCCAGTGCTCTTAACCGCTGAGCCATCTCTCCAGCCTGTGAGGGATTTTCTTAATTGGGTTAATTGAGGTGGGAAGACCTACCTGCCCTGATTGTAGGCAGCCCTATTTCAAGGGCGCAACACTGGACTGAAATAAGTGAGCTGAGCACCAGCATACAGTAATTTATCTCTCTCTGCTTTTGACTGTGGATGGAATGTGATGAGGTGCTTTAAGGCCATGCCATTCTGCCTTCCCTGGAGTGAATGATGGACTGTCACCTGGAATTGTGAGCTAAATAAACCTTCTCTCCCTGAAGGTGCTTTTGTCAGTATATTTTTATCACAACAGGAAATGAAACCAAGGCAATACCTAAACAATATGTTAATTTTGTTTGTTTCTGAGGTTTATAGATAAATTCTTCATGGCTACATTATTTTCTTGAGATCATCTGTTGCTTATACTTTACTCACTTTCACTTTCATTTTGGATTCTAACACATTTACCCATTCTACTGTGGTTGGGCATTTAATTTTTTTTTAAGCTATAAGATGTGCTTTGACATTATTGCATGGCTAGAGAGTCTTTCTAATGCATATATCTAGAATAAAATTGCTGGGTCATAGCATGTGCATCTTTGATACTGTCAGACAGTACCTAATTGTTTTCTAAAAGTAGCTGTGCCCATTTATATTTCCAGCAGACCATGCCCCCATACCCCTGGCCAGGCCAATCTGGTGAACTTTACAGGCATTTTTATAAAGTATCAGTTAGCTGTGCACTAGAAAGTTCCTGGTTCTGTAAGGCTTGTGGTGGGGCTTGAGTGGGAGGCCAGCAGCACCCTGCCTTCCCATAGCATCTCTTACTCCCCAAATGTGTAACCACTTTGACCTTTCTTAGCTTTCTGTGTCTGGTTCGGTAGGTGTTTTATGTGTTAGAGGCTTAGCACTTTGAGAGTAAAGGGCTAAGAAGCAATCCGAGACTGAGAGCAGCAGGTAGGCCTTGCTGACTATTCCCTGCTGGGTGCTGTTGGGTTTGCCACCAGCCTCCAATGTCAGTGTCTGTAGACCTACAGGGGGTGAGAGGGTTCAAAGAAGTGTCTCCTCATTTCAGCCTCTAGTCAGGGCAGTGTGGGGAGGAGGGAGGCCATGGGTAAGACTTGGGGGAAGTGTCAGTGTTTGTCTTACCCCTTAGTTTTGGTGGTGTGGAGTACCCTCAGGTGTGATTCCTGACCTTTAGCTTCTGTTTCCCTTGAGATAAACCGCCTTCTGTGGAGAGAGCAGGAGAGGGGGCATCAGAAGCTTTCCAAACTGCCTTCCAGCCAGACCTCCCACTTTCAGTCTTACCAGCATTACTAGATTTTTTTTCCCCCAAAGTCGTTGAACTTTTTTTCTCTCCTCCTCTCAGTCCCTGAAGACCTGTCATTAGAAGAGAGAGAAGAACTTTTGGATATTCGTCGAAGAAAAAAGGAACTTATTGATGACATTGAGGTAAAGCAACAATAAGAGCCAAACTTCTTAGCTTTTGAATTTGGGTGGAATAGTGAATAGCGTAGCTTAGAGAGAATGTGAAAAGTGGACACTCAGTGTGTGTATGAGAACCGTACAGAGACCAGCAAAGAGCTCTCCAAGCTGGTGAAGTTCTCCAGGCTGACTGCCCATTCCAGATAGCACAGACTGAACTAGAAACCAAGATAGTGGAAATATAATCTACAGCTATCCCCTTGTGGCCCAAATCACAGCCTGGAACAGTTGCCCCCCCCCCCTTTTTTTGTCTTTTTGAAGCAGGGTCTCCCTGTAGCCCCAGCTGTCCTGGAACTCACTGTGTAGACCAGGCTGGCCTTGAACTCATAGAGATCCACCTGCCTTTGCCTCCCAAGTGCTGGGATTCCAGGCTTGCGCCACCATGCCCAGCTCAGTTGCCCTTTTTAATAGGCCATCAGAGAGCCTTTGAATGAATGGACAAGCATGTATTGGATTCCAGCTGTATACCAAGTGCCTTCTAGGTGATAGGAGCAGAATGACAGGTTGGACAAAGACGAATAAAGCATAAGTGCACAAATGCTGCCCTTCCCACACTTGTGTACTTGGCTCAGAGGCAGGGTGGAGGGGGTATCCCACAGGACAGGCAAATGAATAAAGCCACAGTTTCAGAGCTGGGGTGCCTGTGGTGTTATGGAGACTATCCAGAGGCCTCCTGGATCCTTCTTCCTTAGAAAGGTCAGTCGTGTGGCTTTTTTCGAGACACTTCCTAGTCATTGTCATTGCCAAAATACATGTGGCCTCATAGGCCACTCACTGTAGGGCCTTGTCCCCAACAATAGCGCCTTTCTAGGAACTTGCTTTTGAAGTCTGAATTTCTTGGCACACACGTAATAGGGTTCTGAATAATAAAAATTTCTTTGTACTTAAGAGATAATTTGTGGGTATCTGATTCTAAGGTTGACCTGCATTCTTGGAAAAATTCTGCAACCCATTTAGTCCTTTAGCTAAAGAGTAAGTGGATATCATTTGGACACTAGGAGTCACTCTGCTAACTAATATGGAATCTTCATTGAGCTCTGGTACTTCCTTCTGTCACTGAGGATGCAGAGTCCAGGGAGGCCTAGCAGCTCCCAAGGGGAAGCCCCCAGCGAGGACCATACTGTTTTTGTCCCCTCTGTTTCTGGTGTCTCTGAGTTGGGCTTTTTTCTTGGGGCTTTGTCCCTCATGAAGTGAAATAATCACGAGACTGTTGATACACAAACCTACGTCAACATGCTTCCCCTGAGAAGGCAGGCCACCAGGCCCTCTAGCGTGGATAGCTGCAGTGAAGTGAGCCCAGGATGCTACTACCTTTACGTGCGTCACCAGAGTTCTCTCAGGGTCTCTTGTACAATCAGAAAAGCCATATAATATATTTTAATGTGAATTTATTATGCCCTCAGGGAGGGGGTAAATGGGGGAACTTACACAGAGACAAACACTTTTGCACCTTGGCTCAGAGCCTGCCACTTCAGATGCTTCCGCAGCTGCCCATAGTCTCCATTAACTTTTGCCCACGCATCTTGGGCCCGCAGTCTCCTCCCAGGTCGGTAAATGCCCCCTCTCAGGTCCATGCAGGTGAGGGGCCAGGGCCATCTCTTTCTTTACACCCTCTGCTGGGGCTGGGAGCATTCCTCCCAGCTTGCAGCTTCCGTCCCAAGATAGCACAGAAAACCCATCCCCAGTTCATTTTCCGCAGTAGGCCCCACCCCTTGGAGGAACCAGTTACCTGGGAGACTACGTTGTGTCTTACATTTTCACACCTCCTTGATTTTTCACACAAGCCCTTCAGAGCCTGCCTGGCTGGTCCCGTGACCTGTCTGATGAGAGGTAGTGTTGTTTTCTATGTCAGTTTTCTTAGGCTCTGCTACCTCAGGCATTGAGTCTGCCTGTACTGATATGAATGTTGAGTTTCTGGCCCGGTGATGCTCAGGTGAGCCCTGAGGGAGCTTGTCTCTGAGCCTAGGAGTGTAGGGCAGTTAAGATACCTCATGATTCAAATTCCTGCTTTTTTGACAGAGGCTGAAATATGAAATTGCAGAAGTGATGACAGAGATTGACAACCTGACTTCTGTGGAGGAGAGGTAAGCAGTTCATGGGTGGACTCTGGTTACTGACCCTCTTTGTTTCTGCTGCCGGCCTCCCTCCATTTGAGCTTACTAACTGGAGCTGCAGCAGGATCTCAAGGGCAGGCCTGGGAAGTAGGTCCTGTGGAGTTGTCCATCCTCCTCCCTGCCTGCTGCTCCTGCCTTCTTGTGGAAGTGGATCGACCCTCAACTTTATCCAAGTCCTCACCTACTTTTGTTGGTTGAGTATAAGCACAGTAACTCAGAGTGAACTGCCCAGAACTAACCTTTTGATACCATAAGGAACCATGCCTTTTTATTTTAAAAAAGTCACTATTTTTCAGCATTATCATTTCTCAAGTATGATACTGCATGTAAAAAAGATGCATAGCAGCTGCCATGGCTCTGGAGGGTGGATGCTAGGCACGATTGTTTTGTCTATTCTTATATTGTTCTGAGAGGGGACGTGAATGGAAGGGTGACTCCACTGTACTCTGTGAATGTACTCACTAATGATTTTAAAATCATTTCATACCAATAGCAAAACTACTCAGAGGAATAAGCAGATAGCCATGGGAAGAAAGAAATTCAACATGGACCCCAAAAAGGTGAGTGAATAGTTCCAGATTTCCAGCATGTGACTGATTGATAGGTTGATTTTTTAGCAGCTATGATTCCCTTTGGACAAAGGAGTTATCTCATGAAAAGATGGAGTTGATGTTGCATTTTGTCATGAGCAGGATAAAGAAGATATGCTCCTGGACCCAAAAGCCTTTGTCATAGTATGGGGTTCTGAGTGTGGATGGAATCCTGTGGAGCCCTTGGGCTGAGTTTGGAGGGAGCTCCAAGTCTAGGCACTCTAGACAGCCCTGTGGCATCTGCTTGCCACATGCAAGGAAGTTGAAGTTTAATCAGACTGTGCTAAAATTGCTCAGTAGGCTTCTTTTTGTATATCTCTTTACATCAATATATTTATACTAATTACTGGTTCTATTCAACTATTTATTTGTAATTATGTTGCTCACTGAAAGCAGAAGGTTCATTTAGTCCGCATATGACTTTTGGCTGGGAAAAAATTACCAAAATCATTTGGTTCTGAAGAGCTAGTTGTGGCACTTGCCTTAGTCAGCTTATCTGCTGTCACAAAGTACCATGGTCCGAAAACCAGGTGTGGTGGTACATGCCTGTACCACCTGTAGCACCCAGGGAAGGGTGAGAGCAGGAGGATCAAAAGCTCAAAGTTATCTTTGGCTACAAAGCCAAATGGAAGACAGTCTGGGATACATGAGACCCTTACCTTCAAAAATGAAATACCTACACCTAGACTGGAAGGTCTTAAGCAAAAACATTTCTTATAGTTCTAGGGGCTACAAGTCTGAGATCAGAGTTGCCTGCATAGTTGGGTTCTGGTGAGGGCTCTCTTTCCATTTGTGGATGGCTCCCTTCTTGCTGAATCTTCTCATAGCCAGGGTGTGGAGCAAGCTGACTCTAGGGTTTCTCTTCCTGAGGGCACAAATCCTCCAGACCAGGCTGCCCTGCCCAAATGACTGTATTGCACCCTGATTACCCTCAAAGACCCTTCCTTCATAGGCTATCATGTGGGTTTGGGTGTTTCAATGTGTGAGTTTTGAGGGACACATACATTTAACATAAACACACCAGATAAACTCACTTTCCTTCAGATGGAATCCAGAACTACATTTACTTCCCAGGTCTTACTGAACCATGAAACACTGGGAAGCACAAGGAAATTGTCAGAGTAAGTAAAGCCTTTCAGGTTAGGAGGAAATTTAAATCTCTGAGTGATGACACTTTAAGCAAGGACCTTTGGTTTTGTTCACTGCAGTAGATTCTAGAAGTAGCACTTAGGTTTATAAATAAACCAGAGGAAAGGTTTGATTAGATCAAGGAAGCTGAAAACACATTACTGCTTCTCCCTTTTATTCCCAGTGCCCTAGAAATGCCTTAAAAATAAAATACACAAATCTACAGCAAGTGGGACTTCACTCAGTGGACTAGAAATCGACACCTCCTTTTGAGAAGGAAGACATCAGCTGAGGAAGGAAGGATGCCCAGGTCATATATAGGAACAAACTGTGGCAGGACGTGAGAGAGCCCTGGAGTCAGCAGGCTCCATGGGGGCAGATGCAGGGAATTGGGGCAGCATTGGGACTTAGAGACTGTTTATGGACTAGAAATCGACACCTCCTTTTGAGAAGGAAGACATCAGCTGAGGAAGGAAGGATGCCCAGGTCATATATAGGAACAAACTGTGGCAGGATGTGAGAGAGCCCTGGAGTCAGCAGGCTCCATGGGGGCAGATGCAGGGAATTAGGGCAGCATTGGGACTTAGAGACTGTTTACCAGTCTCAGGTACAGGGCCCCCTGGAACTGAGAAGCAAGAGGGCAACATCCAGTATGACTGGCAGCCCAAGGAGGAGCAGTGGCCCTGCTGGAGGTTAGCCCCTGCTGGAGGTCAGCCCTGGACACAGGCCTCCTGTGTGCTACTCTGCCAAATCACTGGAGGTAACTTCAGTGAAAATGGAAAATAGATCTTTTTGAGATAGGGTCTCATGTATCCTAAGCTGACCTAGGACTTGCTACATAGCCAAAGATGACCTTGAACTCAGTCCTCCTGCCTCTACCTCCTGAGTGCTGGGATTACAGGTATATGCCACCATGTCCAGTTTCCAAAGTGATAGGAATCAAACTCAAGGCCTCATGCATTCTAGGCAAGCACTCTATCAACTGAGCCACATCCCCTGCTCTATCAGTGACTCTTGACTATGGAAATAAGCTTGCCCAACCAAGTTGTACCAAGCATTTGAAGAAACCAGTACCTGAAAGGGACATGGGGCTGGACAAACAGTAGAAATAACAATGGAGGAAACAAACATAATAGAATCAATACAAGGGAAACTTCTAAGAATAGGATATTTGTATGTATTATAATTATCATCAAATAAATTGGGTAGCATGTTTCTACTCCATGATACAAAATGTGTGTGTGTGTGTGTGTGAGAGAGAGAGAGAGAGAGAGAGAGAGAGAGAGAGAGAGAGAGAGAGAGAGAACGACCCATGTGAGAGAGAGAGAGAGAGAGAGAGAGAGAGAGAGAGAGAGAGAGAGAGAGAGAACGAACCTCCGAAATAAAGAATGTCAATGCAGTAGCCTGAGCCTGGACTGTGACGGAGAGGATGGCTGGAGAGTGGAGTCATGAGCTAGAAAAGTCAGAGGTATAATTTTCCACACACTGTATGTGTGTAGATCCATATGCATATGCATATAGGTCAACATCAGGCATTTTCCTCTATGACTTTCTATTTTATTTTTTGAGATGGTCTCTCATGAAACCTGGAGTTTGCCATTTGAACTAGACTTGCTGCCCAGCGAGTTCCAGGAATCCTCCTGTTCCCACCTCCTAGCACTGGGATTAAAGACATGTGCTACTACACCCAGCTTTTTATGTGGGTGTGAAGGATCCAAACTCAGAACCTCATGCTTATGCAGCAGGCACTTTACCCACTGAGCTGTCTCCTCAACTCTTCTCCCCAGTTTTTCACAGACCATATATAACAAGATAAGAAGATAGGTTCAGTCACCCAGATTTTGTTCAGTAGAAATCCCAAAGATGAGAATTGAATGTAGTGATCAGGGAATGTTCTCAGGAAACCTTGAACTATTTCAGAAGTAGACTAAGATAAGAATCCTCAGGGGTCTGGAGAGATGGCTTAGTGGTTAAGAGAGCTTTCTGCTTTTGTAAAGGACCCCAGTTCAGTTCCCAGCACCCATGTTGAACAACTTCAGCTCCAGAGGAACCAACACCTTCTTCTGGACTTCATTGGCCCCTGCACTCATGTGTACAAACCCATACACAGACATACATATATAATTTGAAAAAAAATCTTTAAAAGCCTCAGATTCACCAAATGCTAAGTAGGATTAATAGTTAGAAGGCCAATATACAAATGCATTCAGTAAAATATCATGAAACTTGTAGATAAAGAATAATTCATTGACTTTCCAAGATGGAAAGACCAGACTACTAAAAACGAAATCAGCTTATTACTGGGGAATGCTGATCAGTGGCAGTAGGGAAATAGTTTCTTCCACAAGTTGAGGAAAAATGACTTAGAACTGAGAATTCTGTCTGTCCAGACTGTCACCGATGAAAGGAAACAATGACATGTTTAGACATTCTGGGACTCAAAATTCCAGCCACTTGGACTTCTTCTCATTCTAGTCATTGAGTAACTGGAGAAATACACCTCAGCACAAGCAGCAAGACCAGGATAAAGATGATGTGCAAAGCCAAGCTTGGTAGGGCATGCTTTTAGTCCCATCTGGGGAGGCTGAGGCAGGAGGGTCCTAAGTTCAAGACCAGCCTGAACTACATAGTGTGACCCTGTCTCACAAAACAGGCACAAAAAGATGATAAAACCAGCAGAGGACTGGAAGAGTGAAGAGCACTTGCACAGTGAAGAGCACTTGCTGTTCTTGCAGAGGACCCAAGTTCCGTTCCCAGCACCTATGCAAGGTGGCTCACAACTCCAGTTCCAGGGTATCCAATGCCCTCTTAAGACTGGGGCCCTGTGGGCCCCCCCCATACACACACAAACACACACACAATGTACAGATAAATACAAATAAAATAAAAATAAAATAAAAACTCCAGCAAAATCTACAGCTTAATGAGAAAATTGCTATTTGAAAAATGTTTTTAGCCCCAAATTATTTCAGTATATAAATATCAAAGAGGGGAAGAATGATGAAAAGACAGCCTAGGTTTTCCAGGTCTTGATAGGTAAATACAAGTTTACGTATTTGTCAAGATTTTGAGTTGCTATTAAAGACAGGAATGAAATCAAGTTTATAAGTTGCTGGGAAACATTGAATTAGGATGTGAGTAAATCAAAGAAGACTAAAAAGGCACATGAAATAGAAAGAACAAAATAAAAGCCTGGCATGGTGCTGTACACTGGTAATCCCAGCGCTAGGGAAGTGGAGGCACGAGAATTGTGAGGTCAAGACTAGATTGGGCTGCACAAGATCCTATACTTCTGCTTCAGAAAAAACAAAACAAAATAAAACACAGAGATGAGAAGTTGTAATAAATCAATGATCACCATAGAATTGACTGGGCCTCTTGAGGACAGACACTTTATTAACAGGTTAAAAGTGAATACCACTAGACCTCAGTGGAAGAACTTGCACTGAGGGACGTCTGGGGACACTAACTTGACCCAGTAGGCCTTAATGCCAATGACAGAATGTATAAATTCCACTGGAGGGCCTGTGGGAAGGGACCAATGGGGAGGGGCATATGAAGATATGCTGTATTAAATATAGAAAATCAATAAAAAAATTACCAAAAAATGTGAATACCAGTTGTCTTCTGGTTGAGAGGGGCACCTAGGGGAGGGTTAGAAATGAGGAAGCAGGAAAAAAATACCAGGTTGAAGGGCTGAATGGTGTCCTCCACTTGTATTGTTTTTTTTTTTTATTTTTTAAAAATTCATTTATTCCAGGGGTGGTAGCGTACACCTTTAATCCTAGCACTGGGAAGGCAGAGGCAGGTGGACTTCTGTGATATTGAAGCCAGCTTGATCT